GCCGAGGGTCCTTGACTAGTTCTGATCTGGTTGTATGGACAGCCTGTCACTGTCTCTGAGTATTGGTCAGAACTTCTGTTTGCCAGCGCTTGGCCCATTTCTCCTGCTGCTCCTCTGTTACCTGATTTTGCCTCAGCTAGCAAGTACTTAAGAAAAATGGGGAAAATTGACTAAACATTTGGCTTTGTGTTTCCTTAATGGAGAATGTTTGATGTTCCTAAATTGATTTTTTTATCACACCGGAGGCCCTGGGCAATAGAGCAAATGATAAAATGTGTAGGCTTTTCACCAGCTGGATCTAAATTTTGATGCAGTGCGAAATGTTTTAAAACTTGGGACAAACTTCTTTTTTTTAAAGATTAAAGTCTATGATAGATTAAGGCAGGGACTCAAGCCCAGACTGAGTGAGCGTAGAACATACTCTGCATCACTGAGATGTACATTTCTTGTTTCAGCTAAGAATCATACATTTAAACACACACATTTAGGATTAAGAATTGCTTAGGGCTACGGGAAGGGAAAATCATATTGAGTGGGAAGTGGTAACCCTACTCAACAAGTTCTCCTTCCTTCTTCCCCCCCTAGCCTCGTCAGCTCTTTCACTTGTGAAACCAAAGGGCAGAAACCCAGTCTAGCCAGCTCGCCATGGTGCCCCTGCAGGCTGGCTGGGGAACTCCTTGAGCCATGTAGATCCAAGTGGCAAATAGGGTGCAGCTGACACTGTTCTCTGGGACTTGGTGAAGTTCTGACCTCTAACCACATGGAAGCCCACCAGCTTTTACTTTGCCTTAAAACTCTTTTTTCTATCTTTCCTCCTATCCTTCCCTTCTACCTAACTTTCAGTCCTTGTTCAAGTTGGAGCATTGGATATAACTTTGTGATATGTGCTTATTAATCTTGCTTGTCAATCTGATGGGACTGGGAGACCCCTGGAGAAGCATAATGGTCCCCAACAATGAGCTAAGTGGGGTCCGGCTGGAGGAAGTAAGTGGTGAGAGCATGAACTTGTGGGCGTATCTGGTCTCTGGTCCTCTTCTCTTGGACTCTTCCTCTCTTTTCTGCTTCTTAGATGTCACAAGTTCAACAGCTTTCTTCCTCCACGCCTTTCTGCTGTGATGTTTCTGCCATAGAGCTAGCCAGTTACAGACTGAAACCACCAGAAAAAGTAAACCTATCCTCCTTTCCATTTGGGTGTCAGGTATTTTGTCCCAGCAATGGGACTGCTGATCGATACAGAAAATTGGTAGCAGGGAAGTGGGGTCATTGATATGACAATACTTGAACCTCTGGTTCAGAAGCCTTTGGAAATGTTTTGCAGGAAGAATTTGAAAAGGCTTGGGGGAGCAGGGTAGAGAAAACCTAAAATGCTATGATGGATGATTCTGGCCAGAGCTCAGAAGATCAGAATGTTAACAGGTATGCAGAGACTTAAGGCTCAGCTATAAAGTTTCAGATTGGAACAAGAAATTTTTTTGGGGGCGGGGGGATTGTACTAGAGATCATGCATATTACATTCTGGCAAAAAATTCTATGTTCTTTTTTATTTCAAAAGGTAGTTTTATTAATGCACTTTAGGATAATTTCCATTCTTATTCTACCTTCTTTAAGAAATACTGCACACTATAAATAACCACAGCAAACTTTTCATTAGACAACTGTGTGTGTGTGTGTGTGTGTGTGTGTGTGGTTCATTTATATCATACTGCAAATGAATTTGCAAACAATACTGAGCAACAGTATTTCTTTCTAAAAATTTAAGGCAGATCCATTCAGCATTGTGTGTTACTAATGTGGTAGAGTGCATTTACAAGCACAAGTCCCTATGTGTATTTGTATATTACTGTAGCAAAGCCTATTTAGCACATGTCATGGCTCATTTGAAGCTTCAGGTTACAGCCATCCATTTGAAAGATTTCTACATGGAATGTCACTGGGATTGCAGGGCTCTGTGTCAGAGATGCAGAAGCCCTTCTTCAGGGCAAAGTCAGACTATTTCCCTTGGTTCATTTATGTTTTCCTTTCAAGGTTTTCCTAATTTCACTTTTGGATCTTCATTTTTGTTTACTTCATTTATTTCCTTTAGTATGTTGTATGTTCTCAGGTAGGGCAGGCTGATATCTATACAAATGACCATATGCATGAAGATGGTAAACGAGGTAGTATAGTTCATACATGGCTATAGAATCAACATAGTGAAAAGAAATTGCAAGACCAGAACAGCCATAAGGACCCTCTACAGGAGGATAATAGTTATAATTGCAGTACCAAAAGGTTCTGGGCAGATAACCTTTGATTAAGTGGTATTCTGGTACAAAGAGATGAAAAGTTTCTTTTCCCGTGGTATCTCTGGAATCTCCAGCTTCTACATTCACAACTTC